TAACTATATAAATACACAAAGAGGTGTTTTCTTTAGATAATAAATAATTATAAATTGTAAATAAATCCTACCTTCTTATTTTCTTATTTTTCTAAATTAAATTTTTTTCTTGTTTTTCTAATTTGTTAATTTTTTGTTAGTTATTTAGTCAGTCAACCTAGTTGGTTATAGGAGGTTTTTAATAATTATAATTTTTAAGAATTTATTTATTATATTTTATTTACATAATTAATTAATTTCATTCATTCCCTTCCGGAAAATTTATTTAAATAAATAATATCTTTGATTTTCTTCAAAAAAATCTTTTTTGATCAAAATAAAAAAAAAATTTCTAATTTTTTTTTCACAAATTTTTTCAACATTACATTCAACACTATATTCTCTCAACAAACACATATAAATATAAAAATTCAACGTCAACATAAACTAAAATCTTTTGATATTTTTTTAATTATTTTTTTTTTTTTTTGCTGGATCTTTTCCTTGATTGATTGATCGATACTTATAAACAATAAACTTCTCTCTACAAATAATATAATTTTTAAACTCAACTTTTCAAACTTGCCTATAATTTTTTTAATTCAAACTCGTCTATAATAATTTCACATGGCAACAATAATACCATCCGAGATATTTATAAAAATATGTTCATACTTATCACCATCAGATTTATATTCATTGACAACAGTATGTAAAAATTATCGATCAATGTTATGGTCATTTACATCAACAACGACACAATCAATCTGGTGCAATTCACGTGAACAATTCATATCGCATCTAACATTGCCACCACCAAAAGATATGTCAGAACAACAGTATATTTGGTTGATGGTTTTATTGAATAAATGCCAATTCTGTAAGGAAAATGATAAAAAGAAGTTGTCAATGTGTTGGGAATTTCGTATGTATTGTTGTCAAAGATGTCTGGCTCAAAGAACCGTTAGGTATGATATTAATATTATGATGATTTATTATACTATTATAAGATTATAATTGTCATGATTGTTGTGATTATTATGATTGTTATGATTAGTAGGAGAATAATCCCAAGAAATTAATCATCTAACCATCAAATATCAATATACTAATTCCAACTATCTTTATAATATTTATTTTTATATAGCCGAGATACATTGTTAAAGGAATGGGAATTACCAGATATTTTAATAACATGCTTCACATCACTGCCACCAAATGCTCAAAGGCCTCAACTATTTCTTATATCCGAAGTAAAATCAAGATAATTTTCATCATCAAACTCATCATACACGTCATTACCCAATTTTCTTTCATTATCACCATAATCATTATCGGATATTTCTTCATCTATCTCTTCTTCATTACTAGAGTATAATGTACTACCATCTGAATTATGATGCGGATCGAATGTCCTGCTACTAATATTATTGTCTTCATTATCTGTGTTATATGGTTCTTCAACTAACATTGCCCTTTCTTCTTGACATCAGATCCAGAAATGAAACATTAAATGCCTCTAGAGACGTTGCAATGGTTCCTCTCTAAACTGTTCAATATTCTGTTTTAATATGGTTTATCATACAAAAATTTGTTTGTATAGAAAATTATTTATTACTATCTTGTGCTACCACCCATTTGTAGTAAAAAATATAAAAATATGCCGTGTAACAATTATTCCCGTTAACTGGGCCCAAAATAAGAAAAAGAAGATCTGTGACGCAATGAATCATCGTTCATTCATTATAATCCATTATTGTCATTATCATATTTATTCCTCTCATTATTATAATTACAAAGAATTAAGGACAGACAATAATGCATTAACATTTGAATTTAATAAAAAATTTACAAATGAAAAAAAAGATTTCTCGTTTACTTTTCATCAATTACGATTCGATTATTACATTATTATTATATAATTACTACAATCCTTCTTTCTTTTTTCCTTTGTATGACTTGTGTTTATATAAATTTACCCCGCAAAATAAATTTGAAACAGAAAATGTTTTTTCCGTTAATATTAACAAATACAGTTTCACAATTTTCAAGAATAATTAAATTTTTTAAAAATTATATAGGAAATTTTGTCCAAAGAAATTATGCGCATATATAACCCAGTCACACATTAATATATATATATTAATAATGATAATGAAAATTGTGATAATAACAATAATAATTTGATAATTTCGGTATAAAAAAAAAACGGGAAAAAAAATATTTGTTATTACATATTAGTCGGTCCTATCAATCAATTGTTTTTTAAATATAAATAAACAACCGACTTGTTATTATAATTAATTATTGTCGTTATTTATATAATAATTTAGTTTATCATGTGCACATTATAATTATTGTTTCGAACAAAAGATAAATAACAGATAAAAAGAAACCCAAATGAAAAATAATGATTTTTTTTTTTTACAAATTGTTTCGTTTTATCGTAACACGCATATAATATTAATATAATATATTAATAGAAATATTATATATTGTATGTAATAAACTTAATTATAGTTTAAACTCTACATAATATATATTTTATTAAATATACATTTTTTATTTAAAAATTGGAAAAACAATTCTTATTTACTGCGATTATTTGCAAATGAATAATGAATGAATGCAATTTAGCCAACATTTTAATATTGCCACTATTAACTATTATTATTATTATTATTTATTATCAGAGAATTAGCAATAATAATATATTTAATATAACTATATAAATACACAAAGAGGTGTTTTCTTTAGATAATAAATAATTATAAATTGTAAATAAATCCTACCTTCTTATTTTCTTATTTTTCTAAATTAAATTTTTTTCTTGTTTTTCTAATTTGTTAATTTTTTGTTAGTTATTTAGTCAGTCAACCTAGTTGGTTATAGGAGGTTTTTAATAATTATAATTTTTAAGAATTTATTTATTATATTTTATTTACATAATTAATTAATTTCATTCATTCCCTTCCGGAAAATTTATTTAAATAAATAATATCTTTGATTTTCTTCAAAAAAATCTTTTTTGATCAAAATAAAAAAAAAATTTCTAATTTTTTTTTCACAAATTTTTTCAACATTACATTCAACACTATATTCTCTCAACAAACACATATAAATATAAAAATTCAACGTCAACATAAACTAAAATCTTTTGATATTTTTTTAATTATTTTTTTTTTTTTTTGCTGGATCTTTTCCTTGATTGATTGATCGATACTTATAAACAATAAACTTCTCTCTACAAATAATATAATTTTTAAACTCAACTTTTCAAACTTGCCTATAATTTTTTTAATTCAAACTCGTCTATAATAATTTCACATGGCAACAATAATACCATCCGAGATATTTATAAAAATATGTTCATACTTATCACCATCAGATTTATATTCATTGACAACAGTATGTAAAAATTATCGATCAATGTTATGGTCATTTACATCAACAACGACACAATCAATCTGGTGCAATTCACGTGAACAATTCATATCGCATCTAACATTGCCACCACCAAAAGATATGTCAGAACAACAGTATATTTGGTTGATGGTTTTATTGAATAAATGCCAATTCTGTAAGGAAAATGATAAAAAGAAGTTGTCAATGTGTTGGGAATTTCGTATGTATTGTTGTCAAAGATGTCTGGCTCAAAGAACCGTTAGGTATGATATTAATATTATGATGATTTATTATACTATTATAAGATTATAATTGTCATGATTGTTGTGATTATTATGATTGTTATGATTAGTAGGAGAATAATCCCAAGAAATTAATCATCTAACCATCAAATATCAATATACTAATTCCAACTATCTTTATAATATTTATTTTTATATAGCCGAGATACATTGTTAAAGGAATGGGAATTACCAGATATTTTAATAACATGCTTCACATCACTGCCACCAAATGCTCAAAGGCCTCAACTATTTCTTATATCCGAAGTAAAATCAAGATTAAAAGAATTCAACAAATTAATATCACTATCTTCTAATAATAATAAAGATAATAATCATAATAATAATAATAAAGAGATTATTAAAAATAATAATTATAATTACATTTTCAATTTTTTCCTTCTCAATAATCACACTCACAGTAATCACAACACCCACACTAATCACAGCACTCACAATAATCACATCATTACTAATATTGATGAGGAGGATATTAATAATAATGAGAAATTATTATTATGGATAAAATCAAATCAGGAAGAAATAGCTCTACTGAAATCGCAAAATAAGCGATATATTTTTCAGCATGACGAGGGAAGATATGATCATAATGAGCAATTGGATAGATTATTCAACACCTTGAATATGTCTATTGAATATAATATTAAAATCAATGATAGTAGAAGAAACAGTAGAAGTCTAATGGATGATGATATTGATGAATTGTTATCGTAACAACTCTTTTTATCTCACACCCACCTCTCTCAAAATAATAAAAGACATTAATTTCGTATTTATATATAGCTAGCTATATATAAATCTATCTGTATCTATTATATTATATATATATATGTGTAAATTTCCAAACATATTTTCCAACATAACATAATTCCACCACACATCTACCTTAATCAATAATTACTTCTTTCTATTACTTTATTATTGTAAAATTAATTAATCGGGATTCTTTTTTTTTTTTTTTTTTTTTTTAAAAACAATTAATAAGTAAATATAATAATAATAAATAAATAAATAAATAAAATGAATAATTTTATTATTGTATTTTTTGTAAAGATTTTAAATAATTAAATATTAATAATAAATTAGTTCTAAAAAAAATATCAATTAATTTTCCATAAATAATTTTAAATATAATTACAAATAATACGTTAATAATAAATAGTTTAATTTAATCTATTTTTGTAGATTTTCCATTATTTCCAAAAATTTTATTATTACTGCCACCCGATGTTGATGATGACGGATCATTGCTATTGCTAATATTGCTAATATTACTTTTATAATTCATTGCTTCTAATTGTTTTTTAATAATCTTTTGACTTAATGATAAATCATCATCGCTAACATTATCAATGTTACTACTACTATTGTTATTGTTATAATTATATCTCTCTGATTGATTATAATGATAATTTCTAGAGTGGTCTTGATTATAATTATTATAATCTTCTTCATTATCAAATACATCACTACTTTCTCCTACACCGACATGTTCAAGATAATTTTCATCATCAAACTCATCATACACGTCATTACCCAATTTTCTTTCATTATCACCATAATCATTATCGGATATTTCTTCATCTATCTCTTCTTCATTACTAGAGTATAATGTACTACCATCTGAATTATGATGCGGATCGAATGTCCTGCTACTAATATTATTGTCTTCATTATCTGTGTTATATGGTTCTTCAACTAACATTGCCCTTTCTTCTAGTGACAAATCCCTTACAACATATCCTTCACTACCTCGTCTAACATGGTGATATCTACTACGCTTGTTTCTATTACTATTATTACTAGTGTTATTATTATCATTATTACGATAATTCTTATTAAGATTATTAAATATGGTATTATTAACGTTCCATGGTTTAAGAGGTAGTGGAGCTGGTGGTTTGGCTGTTGGATCTTTTGGCGGCCAAATTATTGTTGGATCTATTAATAATAATATGTGCAATAATAATAATAATAATAAATTAAGTAAATTTCATTATTTTTTTTAAAATAATTATCTGTATATATAAAATATAATAAATCAATACATATCAATAAAATTTTCTCACGCGCAAGTAAGTAAAGAACAATTAATATAATGATAAACTGACCATACATTTTGTTTTTTTTTTTTATTTAATTTTTAATTTATTTCTTTTTAATTTCCTAATTGTAATTATTACAATCATTAGTTAAACCATGAACTCGTCAGTCATACCTGCTTCATTTGATATTGGGAATTTTATTCCTGATCCAATCGTTTGTTGCGGATAACACCAAAATAATATATTATTTCCAAGAACTGATTGAAGATTTGCCAACACTCCGACATCGTATGGAAACACTACCTAGATAAATAAATTGATATGTGTGTATATATATAAAGATTTAACATGAAAGTATTGATGAAATGTATCGTATTCTCCCACAACTCGGCATTCTCGCCCTCTCCCAGAATATAAACAATACCTCTTTTATTTTCCCTTTCCTGACCATCATCAACACTTTATCTTTCTCCCAATTTTCAATCGTTGTAGTATTTGATAACATACAATAGAAATGATACATACTAAGTATTCCAACCGAAAATAATACGGGTATAACTGCTGTATAATTCAATACTAGAAACACTATTTCCGATGATGATGGCTCTCTTCCATACTGTAACAAATCAATCAATCAATAAATTGTTGTTATTATTATTATTGTAATCACAAAATAGTAAATCGCATATAACAATATATATATATAATATGTACATTTAATGATGCCAGATCTTCAATAATTTGTAATGTACTTTTTATCAACAACACAAAATGAAATGTACATGTTACATCTACCCAAAATACAAATCTTATAAAATGTCCATAATTAAAATATCCAACACAATTGTTCGTCCATGGACCTAAATAATTAATGGATTAATAATGGATTAAGAGAATAAATCAATATGGAAAAATAAAGTTTTCTTAAACTTACAGTGATGATCCATTTTTAATATACATCTAAAAACAAAAAAAAAATCATATTATATACAATCTGTAGTTTTGCATAATCTTTTTAATTATAATCATTCTTCTCTTTCTATGCAAATATTATAATAACAATAAATACCGTTTACAAGTGCGACAATGATGTGTTCTTGGCGGCTTATAAGCGTTGCAAGTTCTACAAAATCTAGGTGTGCGAGTTGTTCTCCTAATCTCAATATTCTCTTGATTTTCTTTAGGTTTCTTTTTTTAATTAATATTATTAAATATGTGTACCTCCCATATTTAACTATATACAAATAAATAAATAAATAAATAAGTGAATATACATTACCCAATCTTTGGGCACTCCTCCTGGATCAGTGGTGCAGGTTAAATAGTAATTCCAAAATATCATAACAACCATTATATTAAATGGTATTAATACATTAAGGGATTGTGCATTAAGTCCTTCTAAATATTTCCAAAATATAAATATTTGACTTGTATATGCCAGAAAACATATAAGAAATGTAACTCCTATTATGAATAAACGCCCTGTGTTAACCATTCTTGTTCACAATAAATAAATAAATAATTAAATAATTAAATATTAAATAATGAATGAATTAATTAATCAGTCAATAGATTTGGAAGGAGGGAGGATCTTTAAAAATTTTGGTAAATGAAATGAATGAAAATTATAATTTGTAGATCGAAAATAAGGTTTGTATGTGCCGCAGCTGGGTCAATTTCACTGGACATATTAATATTATTAGTGTTGGTAATTATTATGAAATTTGAAATTTCTTATTTCCAAGATGACATCTTGTTAATTCACCTTTTCTACAAAATAATTTTGTACATATTGGATATTCCATCCATACTTGAAATCTTTTATTCAAAAATGACATCTTTGATGAAATTTCTTTAAGTGACCTAGAACTGCACAAGAAAATATCTTGTTGCTTTGATTACTTGCTTGCCTATTTGTACTATATAGCTATTTTAGGATAACAATAGTAACACATAGTAATAATAGTAATTGACATTTCAATAAAACTCCAAGTATGGTTAAAAATGTTACATTAATGAATGGACCAGTCAGAAATTGAAGATACCAACATTAACAATAGCATTATTAGATAATAATTATCAAGAATAGTAGTTGTTAAAAAGTTTTATAATAGTCAAACATCTATCACGATTTGTTATCTTTTGCTGCATATAAAGCTTCTAGACCTGTTAATCCATCTTTATAAGCATCCATAAATCTATATAAAAGACCTGTGACAAATTTTCAATTTTATTGTGTACTCTATTCACTTTTGCTTATATACTTTCTCATATAAATACTTTTCAATATCACATTTTTCTTCCCATATTCAATAAAAATTGATATCTAAATTAATAGGATTTTGGTTATTTTCCTAATATTCAATAAATGATTAAATGCTTTTTCTGCCTCATTTGGGGTATTAAACTGATCATTTGTGTAGAGTCCTATATATTCTTCAAGTCTAACAAGATTTAATTATTGGATAAACTTGTCCAATTGCTCAATCCTTTTTATATGTAACCTTGCTCCTCCCTCACCTCTACTAGATCACCCTTTTCAAATGGATCTATATTATCATTGAAGGGTTGGATATATAGCAAATTTTTGGAATGATATATGCATACATCTTTGTTTTGTTTCATATAGATTTCAGGGATGTTCAATTTAAAAAATCCGAAGAAATTCTATCCCATGTATATATCATTGTTTGGATTTCCAGTTGTCCTTCAGGAAACATGTTCGGCACTATTTAAAATTGGTAATTGTGTCAAGAGCAGTTGATTTATACAACAATGTTAATATTTGATCATACCTAACACTATCACTTTCCATTTTTAATAAATGGAACCCAGGGTATACATTATTTTTACTTTTTTTTTGCATGTTTAGTTATCTTGAACACAAATTATAGGTTCGTTATTAAAATTGATGCTTTGAAATTAATATTATATTGCTAATTATTATATGAAAGAAATTCATTAGTTCCAAAACCCTCGACCAATTCGATTTGTGCATTATACTTGATAAAGCACTATCTGTGCTAATACTAATTAATTGGATATTTCTTGTAATTACAATTTAATTATTTTTTTAAAATAATCTACAATTTTTTTCTGTAGGGTCACCTTTAATTGGAATTGGAGCTGTTACAATTGGAGATATTTAAAGCTCCGAACGGTTTGGTTCGGTTTTTCAGTTATATTTGACCCAGAAATTTCAAGGCATTATAAATTTGTTAACTATGCAAAAATATACATAATAACTTTACAAAAAATTATAATAACTTATAGTTTGGTTTTAACGAATACGTTGGAAAGTAGAGATGCTAGAAGGATCCTGTTTCTATATATATATAGTCTATAATGATTGAATTTTATCCATTTCATACATAATGCCATGTTTAGTGACAGTTGGTATGATCGTAATACCATAAAAATTTGTATGCTCTATTTTTTCAATTCATATATAAAATTCATCGTCTCCGCAAACTTTTTAAACTCATTCAAACTTTTATTGTAAAATACAACGCCTTTGAGTAATTAGTATATGTCTCCAGAAAAAACTCGTTCAACCGAGACACTAGTTGCTATAATTTAATAAATTTAATTCTAAACAAGCAGAGTGCAAAAATCAGAATACCAGGAGCCTCCAAGTGGTTTTTAGCCTAAAGCTTGAACAATTCAGTTCAAACCGAAATCTAACCGAACTGTTCGGATTTTTAGAGGTATTCTCCCAATTGGAATCTGAAAATTATTTATAATACATAAATATTTTTAAAATATTGCTCTGTAGAGACATGTTCTGCGAGCTCTAGTCATTTTTCAGAATAAAATAAATTGATTTTGACAATCGGAAACTTAAAAATGTTTCATATCCACCGATTTCTGCAATGTTACACGATTTCAGGCTGATTTTGGGGCACATTTTCGTTGTTTTGTTTTGTTTTAAGGTACATTTTTGATATGTTACACCATCCTTTATCTAAAAAAAGTAATTTTTATATACTTTTGTTATTATTATGTTTGTTGAGATTCGACAGTGAATTGGATTCA